TGTTTGAAAACTCTGCATGGCCTCTTGAGCAATGAGGAGGAAAAAATGGTATAAAACTTTCAATGACAAAACTGGGTCAAATCACAAACGAAGCCATGATCGAGTGACATGCGAATGTCGGGTGATGTGTCGAACAGTACGAGGACAAGATGGAATTGGGACTTAGGTTTTGGCCATAAACAGGCAAGAAGGGCTGGACAGTCTTGTGGTCTGAAGACAAAAGGCAGGATCAGGAAATGGGCAGGCAGGCAATCAGGTAGAACTGAGATATAGGAAAACGCTCAAACTCTGGAAAAATCAGGAAGATCTTACATCTGAGCACAACATTAGATGAACTAAAACAGTCTACACTCATGAGGTCAATTAGAATCAGCTGTGATGGCATAGCTACCCAAAACCAGAAAAATAGCAATTCAGACACACGTAACCTGGGCGGGCACCGTTTTCAGGATGGTCAGACCGGTCAGGGTTTGCCTGGGGGCGTGGGCTTCGTGACATCATCTGGGGATCCCCGGTGCTGATCCGTGACAGCCACAGTACGCCCAAACCTCATAGAATGCTTTAACACCTTAGAGCTTACTTACCTTTTCAAGCTAACTGATTAACAGAAAATGAAAGAAACACATGATTATCGATTAGAATACAGTCCCAAACTTTAATGATACATTTACAATTCTCTAATTCAGATTTTCACCTCCAACACTAGATCAAATGTTACTCACAGATTAGACACCTTAGGCAAAACATCAACCCAGCTGTCACGCCGTGCATTCCTCTCCCCTTGTTTTCTCCATTGTGCGGTTCTGACAAGCCACACCTGTTAATCGTTTAACGCTTCCTCTCGGTACAGCCTTTGTGTGGATCACCCCAGGTGCCTCTCATCTGCTCCCTTGTCAGTGGTGTACATAGTGCCTCCCTGTCTTGAGCTCCCCAGTCTGGTCATTAACGTTGCTACCTGTGTCTGCTCCCTAGTTTACCCTGAGTTCTGGACTAATTGTTTCTACCCCGTTTTGACCCCTGTGGTCCCTTTCCTTTTGCCTTGCTTGTTGTTTTCGTTGAATAAAGCTCCTTTTTATTTTTCCCACGCCTGCCTTCGCCTCCCTTTCACCGTGACGTGACAGAATGACCAGACTCAACTGACAAAGCCCTGGCAGCTCCCCAGCCCTCTTGCTGTTCGGCAGTCCTACCTTCATTCAGTGAATGATCCCGGAGAACTACGTGTTGTGTGATCCTTATACTGGAGAGACGTCAACCCGAGACTGGAATTCAAAGACTGCGGTATACCTCGAGCGATGGCTCACTCTTTGGTTTCGTTGACACAGACCCTGACCCTCACACAGTTGGACTTCACTGTCCAGGGTCTGTACTGGCGGGTGCAGTATGATCCAGCAATACGGGACTCTTCCTCCTGTCCCCAGAAGTAGTAGAGCTCCACCCAACCCCAAAGGTGTTTGAGACTCCTGCCGTGCTTAGCCCATTTCTCAAGGTACCTGAACTCCGCCCGTTCACAATCTGACTTTTGGCTGCTGCTGGCTCCGAGGAAGGGTATCCAGAGAACGACCCTCCGGATAAACTAGAGTGGGACCCTCTAGGTCTGGCCCTGAGTTCTGCACTAGGATTCCCGGTCCTGCCCCAGACTCAAGCTACCCAGGTCTCCCGTCCCAAAAGAGCCTCCGGTGTACACGGGGATCCAGGAAGGGGGCCGGCCGAGTCTCGATCTCCCAAAGTGGGAGATGGGGACACACTACCCGTGGCCACTACTTCGGTGCCTCTGGGCCCTCTTGCCCTACTGGCCACTCGGGTCTCTCCGGTTCCTGTTCCTGCCCCTGTTCCTGTTCTCACCCTACAGGTTCCCCCTCAGTAACAGGTCCCTGCCCCAGCACCCAATGACAATGCAGTTAAGCCAGTACCAAAAATGATAATACACTAAATAAAGATGGATTTAAAATAAAATATTGAACGTGATCAAGAAAATGTTTTAAAATTCAAAAATCAAACATTCAAAACTATGAATGAAATTAATAGCAAATGTAAATTACATAACTGCACTGAGCAAAATGTATAAGTGACATCTTTCTGAAAATACTGGTAAAAATTCCTATTTTTTTCATCCCCTAACTGTACCGGTTTTCTGTAAGATTCCAGAGAGAAAAAAAACAGTTGAAAGGGACTCACTGGGTGATGCTTAATGCATGTGCTTAAGTGGCATGAATGCTTAATGAAATATATACCAGTCATCATTACATGTATGATACAGACAAAATCCATGCAAAAACTTTTCCAGCAACAAAAAGAAAAGCATTTAGGTTCTTTACAAAAAGAACCTAAATGACATATAAACTTAAAAACCGAAGGATAAAAGTAATGACAATATCATAAAACATATGTAGGTAAAATAAGTATTTATTGACAGATTAACAAATTAAACAGTTACAAGTTCATGACAATCCTTTGTGAAAATTTAATATTTCTAATTCCACCTTCATCTGTGGAAGAGGTGATCACTGTTTACAAAATGCTAGTGGACGTCACACAGAAAAACATTCTGAATAAAGTACACAAAAACATTTGAACAAATTTCAAATGTGTTAAATTTAAGTTCTCCATTTACATAACAGTATGTGCAATGCATGTGTTCATTTTCGTTTCTTCAAGAGTTCAACAAATCCATGTTTTAACTATATCACCCTTGTCAATTGAATGGATTCTCTCATGTTTTCTTAAGTTACTACTGGTGGAAAATTTCTTTCCGCACACAGTGCAACCATAAGGTCTTTCCCCCGACTTTACTTTAAGGTGTCTTCTTAAGTAAGTTATACATTTAAAATGTTTCCCACAATGGTCACACTTGTTTGGTTTTTCTTCTGAATGAGTTCTCATATGTACTGTCAATCCACTTCCTTGTGCAAAACTTTTTGCACACAATGTGCAACTATACGGCTTCTCACCAGAATGAATTCTCATGTGTACTTTTAAGTGTATTGC